TACACAGCATAAAAACCTGAGTTAAGTACATTTTTACACAAAAGAAAGGACTCTCAGGAGCATAAAGTTAAGCAATACAAATAAGTCTCAGAAAAATTATAGTATGGTTCCATTTACATAAAATATATTGTGGCACTTTTATTATTTTGGTGCACAAATGTGTGGTAGGTAGTACTATAAATAGAAGCAAGACAATGATTAAACTCAAAATTCAAGATAATGGTCAACTCTGGGGATAAAAAGGAATTGGGTTATGAAATGGAAAAATCGGTAATGCTTTTTGTTTTTTGTTTTTTTTTTTTGAGACAGAGCCTCATGCTGTCGCCCTGGGTAGAATGCCATGGCATCACAGCTCACAAGAACCTCTAACTCTTTTAAACAATTCTCTTGCCTCAGCCTCCCAAGTAGCTAGGACTATAGGAGCCTGCCACATGCTCGGCTAAATGCTTTCCTTCTTCAACTTGCTGAGTTTCATTATATTGTTTTTCTTTATGCCTGTTGCTATGGACAGAATTGTGTCCCCACAAAATTTACATGTTGAAGCCTCAACTCCCACATCATTGTGTTTGGAGACAGGGTCTTTATGGAGGTAATGAAGGTTAAATGAAGTCATAAGGGTGGGGTAAGGATCTTAATCCTATATAACAGGTGTCCTTATAAGAAGAGGAAGGGTCTCTCTCTTGCTCTCCCTTTCTCTCTCTCCACACAAGCACAGAAGAAAAGCCAAGTAAAGATAAAATGAAAAGGTGGCCATCAACAAGCCAGAAAGAAGGTATAACTTGGGTGGATTTAGAAAACACTCTTCCTCGTGACAATAAAAAAAAAAGACTTCCACTAGGTTTTCTATCTGCTACTTTGCTAGCTCAGTCTACTGGGGACATTTTGTTAACCCTTTATTAGACTATTGTTTTCCCTCCATTGCCTTGGTGTGAGCACTGTCCAAGTGGAAATACAAAGCAAGCAACTGTGATTGTCTAATAGATTTTACAGCGGGAGCAGTGCATGCCTGGATCTCTTGCACCTCACAGCAGAGATACTTCTAGCTAATTCTAGCTAACTCTTCAGGACAGCTAATAACTAGGTTGTTTGTGGAGCGAAGGGAGGCTTGTTTTATATGATCATCTTCGGAGATGTAAACTATTGTTATTATGTAGGGCTAACAGGACAGCTGTGGATTGAGGATCTGTTCATTAAAAAGGGCTGTCTTAAAGGTAAATCTTCAGTGACTCCAGCCATTGAGATGGACAGCAGAAGGAGAATCACATGTGAAATTGCTTGAATAAAAATTTATTAATTTTTCCTACTGCTATAATAAAAATCAACTTTTTACACACACACACAAAAGAAAACACTCTCCTAAGTAGAGTATCACTACATAGGAAAAACAAGCATCACATGAAGTCCATACTAATATGAAACTTGCATATTAACATCAGCATGCTCACAAGAGAGAAAAAATTAAATCCAAGAAGGGGAAGGGAGATTCAGTAAGTTCCCACCTATAGGGTACAATGTATGGGCATATGGCACACCCCCTGGGTGAAGGTCACAACTACAACTCAGACTTTACCTTACATACACAAACAAGGTTCTTCATGTATTAACTTCTTCACAACCTTCACCTGGTAGAAATACCAAGTGACTCCATTTAAGTAGTGATGATAGAGTTCTTTTTATCTTTTCTTTAAATTTGAGTCCTCAAGGTGGTCTCCAAGGAAATCTAAAAGTTGTGTGACTTTAAAGGTCATTCATAGTAAGAATACCATGTTGTTTATAATATGGCAAATATCACATCCAGCCTTACCTAGAAGAGTCTGTTCTACATTTCCTACCATTATCTGATTCTTTTTATTATTTATTTATTTATTTATTTATTGCAGTTTTGGCCAAGGCTGGGCTTAAACCCTCCACCCCTGGTATATGGGGCCAGCACCCTATTCCTTGAGCCCCAGGCACCACCCTGTCATCTGATTCTTAAGTTAAAAAACAAAAGAACAGATGAAAGTGGAGTAGCATCCAAAGAATGTTTGTGTTACCCTTGTAATTTTTAGCTAAATCTGGTTGTAGACATTGGGGACGGCTTAATGGACCCTGGTACTGATGTAGCAGGAGGGACTCCTGAGCAGACAGCATCTGCCTGAGGAGCCCTGCCAGTACCTGCCTCTGTGGCAGCCACTGCAAGGCCTCCTGCATTACTGTGATGGACTGGTGACCATGCAGACATTGCTACTCAGCTCAGGCAAATGACAGTGTGCTAGTGGGGTTGAGACTTGACAGTAGAAATTAAAGAGACCTTTGTTGGTTGTTCACCAAATATTTATTAAAGAACCTTGAAAGCCAGTATTAGGCTGAGTGAACGAGCACACCTTCTTCAGAGTTGACCCTCTGTTTACAGCAGATTGTTTTCTCTTTCCTCCTTACATATTCTGGCCCCTGCTTCCGTAATGTACTTCATTACCAAGTTCTTATCATCTGACTTGCAATCTGTGCTCAGGTCTGGCACATTTCCTTTTGCATCCAGGTTCCCCTCACGATGAACCTCCACATTGCCTGTGTCTCTTACAGGGCTCTCGCTGGGCATGCAGTGCCATCTTCCTGTGCAGCCCCACCTTATATTTGTATTTTTTAGACCCTAAGAGCACTTTTTCTCTTACTTGGCACCATTTACCCTATTGTGAAGAAATAACGCACATGCTTTGGAGGAATTTCCTTATGCCCTTCTAATATCACCAGTTCCAACTTTTGTGACAAACTACAGTTATTTAGTTTGTCATTGATGACTTTCAAGTGAATTGGAATTTTAGTGTATTCTGAGTGAAGTTACCAGTAGTTTGTAAATATTTTACATATTCAAACAAATAGAAAATTAAAGCCTTAGTATTAAAATTGATGTTGAGTTGCAGCATAGGAAGTTGCTGTTGGAATTAGGTCGACTTTTTTGTTAATCGGCTCGGCGCCTATAGCTCAACCGGCTAAGGCGCC